AGGGTTATACTAGCTACTAGGAAGAATCTTCCTCCTAATTGATGGCAGTTTTGACGTATTTAAGTAATTGACAATTATCAGTCAGCGTCAAGTCCGTCAAAGAAATCTAATAACGATATATATATATATATGTCTTCAAAAGATGAAATTGTATATATATAAGCGACTGCAACTTCATAAGAAACTATGTTGTAGTACCTGCATGGCTTCAGCTAGCAGTCCATCAATTTTGAATGTCAAATTTTACGGACAGTAAGTTGTATTGCAGTAAAATCATCCTGAGAAGTGAGCTGTTCTCTAAAATACACATATCACACATGATGGGTTTAATTATTAAAGAATATCACTGTCAAATTAAAGTGTCTCCTGGTGGAAGTAGTCAAGAGTCTAAGATTGTAAAACTGCCACTTTACAAACTTGATCTTTTATTTAATGTTCTTCAAAGTAAATGTCAACGATCTGGGTACAAAAATCTTACATAAAAGATGTGCATCTCAGAAAAGATACATATGTCATAATATATTCTTGTTAAACTATATGTTTAATTTACGCTATAAATAAACCACAAAAGCAATAAATAATAAGTGCAATGTGTGCAGAATGTATGGTAAAAACATAAGGAATGTTTATTGCGCGTAAACGATGTTTACGCTTGGCTTCAAAATAAACTAAATTATTTAACAAACTCATGGTTTCAAATACACGCCTTTTTATGGTACTTCACGCAAATAGTCCGTGAAATCAAGGATATACTGTATCTTCAACATATCGGAAAAGTATATCAGTAAACTGCTGAGTTCATCTTTCCTCATGGCAGCCTATATGCCTTTACTTTGCTTTAGTGAAACACTTACATAATTTCGAATTTGACAGAAATATTAACGGAATAATCCGCTGTTCTCTGTGTTTCGGTGCAAGAGATCCACAAGCGCGACATGAAGATGAAAATGAAACGGAGACGAGGTCGACCGGTTTAAGTACTTCAGTTGCGTCATCGCCAGCGATGCAGCCAGCAAAGTGATCTGGACAAAGTGATTGGTTTTGCTTCGAGTATTTCGGCTCAGGAGGAATATCTTTTCACAATACTTGCCTGGATTAAGTCAGTTTAAAGACAGACCACAAACTGCGACTGAATGCCCTCCATTATCAACATTTACACGAATTATCAGCCTTCATGGATCAGTGGCTGGATGACAACCTCTCTGAGAGTTTGCCACTGTCCTCTATTTTGTGTCATTTTCATCCGTCTTGATACAGCCAGCTGCTTCACCTCATCGCCTATTGACATGGAGGTCTTTCCGCGGGTCGTATACTCCCTCTTGGAACACAATCTAATGCCTCTGGTCCAGCGGATGGTCGGTTTTTGGGTGCAAGGTATCCTCTAAATTGCCGCTTTAACTTAATCATTTAGACAGTGATACCGCAAAATCTTGTTTGTGCTTTTATACCTTATACATTCATACGTAATCCCATTTTTTCTTGTTATTCCCAAAACACAGGTTTGATGCTGCTTTGTTTTGTCTGCTGTTCATGAACAGCTTTTTGACTTAGGGTCCACGTTTCATACAAGGATGTTAACACTGGGAGCATACAATGCCGAATAAATTCCGTTTCAGGCACAAGGGCAATTTTCCGGATAGAAACAGTATGTTCGGTCTTCCAAAAAAATTCATTCGTCTTTGTTCTTCTGTTGATTTCTCACAGTCGGATCTCAGCTGCAGAGAAGATGAGCTGCCCCAGATATTTTGATACTTTTTCAAGCCTAAGTTCATTGACTTCAACAGGCTGCTCGGCTACGTGTCTGTGAAACACATCTGAATTTTCTTCAGGTTCATTTTAATTCTAGCGTGATGTTAGCGTCGTTCAGTTTCTGGATTATTCTAGGGAGTTCTAGCGATCTAGAGAGAGTAAGAATATCGTCCGCAAATACTGACCATTTTGTACGGTTTTTTATTTTCCCAATGGAGTGACTTGAAAACCTCTTCTAAGGCTGCGAAAAATAACGTCATGTGATATTGCATCACCAAGTCGAACGCCCTTTTCGAATTTGTGCCTTTGCGAAGCTTCACACTAGCAGTTGTGATCTTGTAGATCATGACAGAGAGGTCTAGGTATTTTTTTATTTTTTGAATCCTCAACGAATGTGATACTAAACTGACGTGAACCCGAGTCGAAAGCCTTCTGGAAATCGAGGAACCGAAGGAAGGCCCATGGGGAGCTGATACACATTGTTTGTCTGAATTACTTGTATAAAGCGTAGATGTTCCGCCATAGTAAGTCCACTTCTGAATCGTACTTGCTCCTTTGGTTGTACAGCGTCGAGTTTTTCTTGAACTCTGTTCATCAGTACCTTTGTGAAGATCTTGTAGATGATTAGTAACAAGCTGATCGGCCTGTGATTCTTCAAATCTTCTCTGTTTCCCTTTCTGTAGAGTAAGATTACCAATGCGGTAGGCCGATCATCTGAATGTCGCAGCTGCTTCAAACTGCATCAAAACAAGCACTCCATTATTTTGGTCAATGCTTTACCGTATGGTTCAATCACTTCAAATAGTAATGTCTACCTCGCCAGGACTGCTTCGTCGCTTTGACTTCTGGAATTTCGTCAACTTCATTTATATCTTCAGGTTCTCTGTTGTCACAAAGGGTGTTCAGGTGTTGTTATCCTCATTTCTGTACAGTTTTTTATAGAAAACTTCAACCCTCGTTAGAATCTCTTTTCTATTGTTGACGACAGTGTCGCCTTCTGCTGTGAGAACTAAAACTTGTCATTTCTCAACCGTCATTCTTTGACTTAATTTCTTAATGATTTGGTTATCTTCAATGGTTTCATTTGCCAGTCTGCAACCGAACTCTCTGACGTAGTTTTTTATTCGATTCCTCAAGGTTTTGCAAAGTTATACATATTCGATCTTTGACTTCTGATCTGTCGCTGTCTTCATTTCTGTTCATTTCTTCGTCAGTTCATTCCTTTGCTTGGCGATTTTTCGGCCGACCTTGTTCCGGATATGTTCTCCTCCGTTTGTGTTAACTGCCTTTCTTATATCGTGATGTATTGCTTTAATATCCGCCACTTCTGTCGTTCCTTTTCCTTGTGTTTCGTGACGGAACATCTAATGATTTTCAGTTGAAATCGCGGAGCCTTCTTCAATAATGTATCCGCATCCAGTATCTTACGGCTGGTCCTCATCAGTTTCCTCCTTTCCAAAGCTCAGTCCAGGCGTACTTTGCATCTGCGTTGGACCGATACCTGAATTAAGCATGTTCAGCACCATGTCCTGCACTACGCGCTTCATGTCATCACGGAGGATGACGTCGATTTTATTTTTGACGTCGTTCTGACCTTTCCATTGTCCATCTTTTGTTTGGTTTTGTCTGAAGAAAGATGTTGTTGTTCTCAGCAAACGACGTTAGTCGTTCACCCCTGTCGTTCCTTTCGCCGTAAGAAATCGAACCACACGGCTTTCGTTACCTTGCTGCGTCTGACATTGGCTTTCAAATGATCAGTGATCAGCTTTAAATGGTTCTGTCTATGTTCTTGCATTTCGCTTACTTCTTCGTAAAATCTTTCTATATGTTCATCAGGATAGTTTGATGGCGGAACCATTCAAAGCTACGCATTTCGGTACAGATGCAGGTTGTTTACCAATGACGTTGGGATTAATCGAAAAGAGGTCAACGTTGCTAGGCAAAGTGATTGTCCAGAAATCGTCTATTGCGGGCATCGAGCTTTTAAGAGCCTAAGCACGGCGAATCTCTACACTGAGATCAGCATGTAACATGGATGAACAACATGAAGACAGATATGTGTTCGTATAAGAGTCGATTCTGCAACGACATAATGACGAGCATCTCACAGCAGAATTGTTGAAAAGCCGCGAACTTCAACAACATCACAAAACGCTCTTCGCAAAAACAGATATCTTAAAGTAATGAACAAGACATCTTCTCTGGAACGAGCATCTTAAACGCCCCTGTTTGCACTACCTCTCAAGAGAACTGCTGAAAACTGTAGTCTGAATGCGAAAGCACTCAGTATATTATTGCACTCAACGGAAATCGGCTTCCATTCATTACTATGTACGTATAACCGACTAGCCAGTTGCTATAATTTTTCATTGCAAATTTTGAATTAATTTTCTATTTAAATTATCCTTGTGTTCTTCTCTACAAAAGGAGGATCGAATCAAGATGGGAAGAATTAAAGGCTGATTAATTTGTTGCCAGTCATTTACAAGATCTTCACTCACTGACAAACAGACTTCAACAGAAACCGGACCAGCACAGTTAAAGTAGCAGGCAGGAATCAGATGTGGATATAGTACGATGGATCATCCCAGGTAATACAAACAAGTAATTCAGAAAAGCTGTGAATATCACCTTCCACTCTTTCTGAGGTTAGTCGACTTTGAGAAGGCTTTCGATTGAGTCCACATGCGTTCTGCATTGAAGTCCATGAGTAATTAGGGAATGGAAGAAAGATACGAAACATAATCGCCATGAGTTCTCACAAGAATATAACTGCTAATATACACCTTTATGAAAGCACAAACAAGTTTAAAATCGATAAAGGTGCTTGACCGGGAGACGCCGAAGATATCGCCAAAGATATTCACAGCAACCCTAAAAATGGTTTTCAAGACATTCAGTTGCGATAGTCAAGGGCTGAACATGAATGGGCACTACTTAAAAGCTACGTACGGTTTTCAGATGGAGTTATGATCTTCTCAAGGTCATTACAATAACTCTAAAAAAAATTGAAGAGCTGAACGACGTTACCATCGAAGCATCAATAAAAATGAACCTAAAGTCAAGTATATTGTAAGGGCTGGTAGGAACTATGACTTTTCAGCAAGATTCCAGAAGATGAACCAAAAAATGAGAAGAACCGAAAACATATGACAGAATATGCAAGAGAGAATGGCTGTAAAATTATTAAAGTTCGATTTGACCAGGCGTCTGAATGTGTCAGGATTATCTCGGGGTTGGTGCAGGTGAGGCAGAACTACATCTCTGTGTGACGCCTCATCTCCGTATTTTTGAAATCAATGGAAAATTCAAAATGGCATAGATCACGATTGGAACATTGAAATCGTTGTCATGCTGTGAACTACTGTTTTGTGTGAAATGGAAGGCTTTCGATCAGCATATGCTCGCAGTGCTGACCTGAGGGTGCGAAAAATGGACTCTAAACTTGGAAGCCATTTGTATACTACAAATTACTCAACGGTGCATGCAAACACGTACTTATGGAATAACAAGAAAATATAGCAAAACGAATGAATGAATAAGACGCAAACAGGACGCTGCGATGTCATTTTTCGAGTGAAAAAGATCAACTGGCAATGCGCAGAAGCCGCTGCAGGAAGAACCGACCGGAGAGACCTATCTCTGGACCGGAAAAACAATAGACTGGCTTTCAAGAACGAGCAAGGACCAGACCAAAGATCCGCATATACATATATGAGGACTAAAACTGATTTTTGTTTCCGTCCAAGCCGAAGATATCATGGTTTCACGAGATCAGGAGTAAACCTACCCTTTTACTTATGCCTC